TTAGTTTTTCTTGACCCTCCACGAACTCTCCCCAAACAGACTCTGTTACTGCTCCATCTATTTTAAAATACCTTTTTTTATGCAACAATTAATATTTTCTCGAACATACAATGCAACTCCTCCCCCCTTCCCATTACATCTATCCACATTGAATAACTTAAATCCCTGAATATTACACTCAGCAGTCATATCCCGACTCCTTAAATCATACCACGTTTCAGTTAATGCAATGATATCAAAGTTCCCAGCACATGCTACCAAACGTAGTTCCTTAATTTTATTTCTTGCACTTCGACTGTTAGCATAAAATACCATCATATGTTTTTTCTTCTGCACATTTTTCCTATTCATCTTTGTTTTTACACAATTTCTGAAATTATCATTACCCAGAGTTACTCCATGACAGTTACTATTAAGATTCTTAATATCAGAGCATAAGTCAATATATCAATACTCATTATTAATCATTTCAAAACCCATACCTCTAACTAATCCTAGTTTAAAGTCCTAAAAACCCCCTCAACTGAGTTAGCAAGAAAACCCACACCTGCCCTGGATAAGTGAACCCCATCCCTGGCATACATGTCATTTCGGCCATAGAAGTTGTCCCAGTTGTCAATGAATGGTACTGCATTATCCTTACAGTGTTTATCCAGCCAACAATTAATACCAATTGCTCTGGACAACCATTCATTACCAACACCTCTTCTTGGCAAAATGCCACATATAACAGGGCGCCCCCCCCCCTTCTTCCTAATCATGTCTATAGCTGTCCTGAACTTTCTAACTAAATCCTCACTTCTACGCTTGCTACATCATTGCCTCCAGCACTGAGGCAAATAATAGGATTGATCCCATTACCGTTCATGATGTTGTCAAGCCGGCTAACAATGTCCTCCATCCCAGCCCCAGGAAAGCATACCCTTTGTCTCCTACTCCTGTCCTTCAAGCAGAATGCCCTATCCATGTATCTAACCTGGCTATCCCCAACAACAACAATATTCTTACCTTCCTTGTTGTCGTTCGTCGTGACGATCCCAGTAGTAGACTCACATTCGTCGGGTAGCACCGAGAATGCGTTTGAGGTTTCCACGGGAGTTTCCACAGCAGTCTCTTTCTTCTTCATCGTTTCTGGCTTTCCATTCGTCTTCTTGATCGTCAACTTCGTCGTCCCCTGCTGTCCAGCCACTGACCACGATCCCTTCTTGACCTGAGGACTCGAAACAGGACTACTACGAATCCTCTTGTTTTCCTCGGTCAATCGCCGTATCTCCATCTTCGCTGCCCTCAATTCTTCCTTAAGTTGCTGGTAAAGTTGCTCGATGGAGGGCATCTTGGTTCAGTCCAGGGGAGCAAACAAGACACTTCTTCACAGAGCCAAGTATAGGTCAGCACTCAAAGTACAGGTCACCACTCAAGAGCACACAAACAGGTCTTCACAGAGCTAAGTACACGTCACCACTGAGCTGATTATGAGGTCAATACTCTCAGAAGATTTACAGATGATAGTACCCTTCTTGCTGTCCAAACTGTGATGTTTATAACCATATATTCTCATACATCCCGCTTCCTCACGCAATTTCACTCTTCACTGATGATAGTATACACTTCACATTATATACACTTCACTTTATAAGTATAATGGCGCCTAACTTGTCGTGACGTCACTTCTTCAGGCCTACCGCTACCAATGTGGCAACAGCGCCTAAGACCCCCAACGGTTTGCGCTTTGAAATATTATGATTTCAGCTTTCCTCTCACTTTCTTTAACTAATAACTTTAATTATCACTCGTAGTATTGTTCACTGACGTTCCACTACCACTGATTACTGCTAACTGTTATTGCACGCCATACAACGCTAAGGATCTCGGAGCCTTGTTACGCACTTCACCCCACGGACCCACGCGTGTGTGTGTGTGTGTGTGTGTGTGTGTGTGTGTGTGTGTGTGTGTGTATGTGTGCATAATTATAGAAATAAATGGTATAAAATACCGACACAATGGAAATATAAATACATATGCAGTATAATGTGATCCTTTAGAACAAAAGTTAGAGATAAGATAGGTCCCCTTAAAAATAACTATGGGCATCTTACTGACAAAGAGAATGAAATGTGCTCGATTTTAAATAATTATTTTCTCTCGGTTTTTACACAGGAAGACACTAATAATATTCCGGTAATTAATTCTTATAATGAGCCTGAAGAAGATAAATTATATAACATCACAGTCACTAGTGAAATGGTTATGAAACAAATAGACCGACTGAAGCAAAATAAGTCACAGGGTCCTGATGAGGTTTTTTCAAGGGTTCTTAAGGAATACAAAATGGAACTCTGTGAACTATTAACTAATATTTTTATTTTATCTCTTCAAACTGGTGTAGTGTCTGATATGTGGAAGATGGCTAATGTAATTCCTATTTTTAAATCAGGGGACAAGTCGTTACCGTCAAATTTCCGCCCGATAAGCCTGACCTCAATTGTATGCAAATTGCTAGTCAATTACAGCTGAGATTATAAGAAGCCATCTGGATAAGCATAATCTGATTAATGATACTCAGCACTGATTAACGAGAGGCCGTTCTTGTCAAACTAAGTTATTAACTTTCTTCAGTAAAGCTTTTGAGGCTGTTGATCACGATAAAGAATTTGATATTATTTACTTAGATTTTAGTAAGACTTTTGATAGAGTTCCGAACCAAAGACTGTTAAAGAAAGTGGCAGCTCATGGCATTGGGGGAAAAGTGCTCTCGAGAATCGAGTCATGGCTCACAGACAGGAAGCAAATATTGTCCATAAATGGGGTTAAATCCGAGTGGGGATCTGTAACAAGTGGCGTTCCACAGGGATCAGTCTTGGGTCTGTTGTTGTTTATAATATATATCAATGATCTTGATGAGGGAATTACTAGTGAAATGAGCAAATTTGCCGATGACACAAAGATAGGTAGGATAATTGATTCAAACGTAGACATCAGGAACTTCAGGAGGATTTAGACAAACTCAATACCTGGTAAGTAAGACACATAGGCAACATTTAGGCAACTTTATTCCGAAACGTTTCGCCTACACAGTAGGCTTCTTCAGTCGAGTACAGAAAGTAGGCAGGAGCAGTAGAGATGTGAAGACGATGTAATCAGTCCATCATCCTTGAAGTCGTAGATTTGAGGTTGTCAGTCCCTCAGCCTGTCAGTACCTCCAGGCTGAGGGACTGACAACCTCAAATCCACGACTTCATGGGTGATGGACTGATTACATCGTCATCACATCTGTACTGCTACTGCCTACTTTCTGTACTCGACTGAAGAAGCCTACTGTGTAGGCGAAACGTTTCGGAATAAAGTTGCCTAAATGTTGCCTATGTGTCTTACCTACCAACCTGTCGGTATTGTATACCATTTTGATATTCAAACTCAATACCTGGTCAGAAAAGTGGCAGTTCAATGTAGATAAATGCAAGGTTCTGAAGCTCGGGAGTGTCCATAACCCTAGCACTTATAAGTTAAATAATGTAGAACTTAGCCATACAGATTGCGAAAAGGACTTGGTGGTTATGGTGAGCAGTAACCTGAAATCAAGACAGCAATGCCTAAGCGTACGTAAAAAGGCAAACAGATTACTGGGATTTATATCAAGAAGTGTAAGCAACAGAAGTTCAGAGGTTATATTACAGCTTTATACATCATTAGTAAGGCCTCACCTAAATTATGCAGTTCAGTTCTGGTCTACATGTTACAGAATGGACATAAATTCGTTAGAAAACATTCAGCGTAGAATGACTAAATTAAATACATAGCATTAGAAATCTTCCCTATGAAGACAGACCCTTAAATTACATTCACTTGTTAGACGAAAAATGAGGGGAGACATGATCGAAGTGAATAAGTGGAAGATGGGTATTAATAAAGGGGATATTAATAAGGTCTTGAGGATATCTCTCCAAGAGAGAACCCGCAGTAATGGATTTAAATTAGACATGTCAGTGGATGGGTCTATGAAAGATGAGGTGAAGCATAGAATATATGAGGGGAAAAGGGTGAGCGGTGCACTTAGGAGTCTGTGGAGACAAAGAACTTTGTCCTTGGAGGCAAAGAGGGGAATGTATGAGAATATAGTTTTACCAACGCTCTTATATGGGTGTGAAGCATGGGTGATGAATTCTGCAGCGAGGAGAAGGCTGGAGGCAGTAGAGATGTAATGTCTGAGGGCAATGTATGGTGTGAATATAATGCAGAGAATTCGTAGTTTGGAAGTTAGGAGGAGGTGCAGGATTACCAAAACGGTTGTCCAGAGAGCTGAGAAAGGGTTGTTGAGGTGGTTCGGACATGTAGAGAGAATGGAGCGAAACAGAATGACTTCAAGAGTGTATCAGTCTGTAGTGGAGGGATGGCGGGGTAGGGGTCGGCCTAGGAAAGGTTGGAGGGAGGGGGTAAAGGAGGTTTTGTGTGCGAGGGGCTTGGGCTTCCAGCATGCATGCTTGAGCGTGTTTGATAGGAGTGAATGGAGACAAATGGTTTTTAATACTTGACGTGCTGTTGGAGTGTGAGCAAAGTAACATTTATGAAGGGATTCAGGGAAACCGGCAGGCCGGACTTGAGTCCTGGAGATGGGAAGTACAGTGCCTGCACTCTGAAGGAGGGGTGTTAATGTTGCAGTTTAAAAATTGTAGTGTAAAACACCCTTCTGGCAAGACAGTGATGGAGTGAATGATGGTGAAAGTTTTTCTTTTTCGGGCCACCCTGCCTTGGTGGGAATCGGCCAGTGTGTTAATAAAATAAATAAAATAAATTTAGGTTTAGAAAGGATATAGGAAAGTATTGGTTTGGAAATAGGGTAATTGATGAGTGGAACAGTCTACCTAGTTGGGTTTTTCAGGCTAAAACCTTGGGTAGTTTCAAATTTAGGTTGGATAAATGCATGAGTGAGAAGGGGTTGGATTTGAGTGGATAGAGTTATCAGAGCTTATTTCTTGGGTAGTTTTGAAAGTTTGGTTGGGTATGTGTTTTGTTAGTGGGATTGATTGTAAAGAAGCTGCCTAGTATGGGCCAACAGGCCTGCTGCAGTGTTCCTCCTTTCTTATGTTCTTATGTTCATTCTTCATCTAACTAGTGAATGTAATTTAAGGGTCTTCAATCTTTCTTCATAAGGAAGATTTCTAATGCTATGTATTAATTTAGTCATTCTACGCTGAATGTTTTCTAACGAATTTATGTCGATTCTGTAATATGGAGACCAGAGCTGAGCTGCATAATCTAGGTGAGGCCTTACTGATAATGTATAAAGCTGCAGGTAATGACGTATAAAGCTCCATTCTTATGTTCTTATATGGGATAGCGATGAAGAAGTTTTTTGGCAAGTGGTTCAGCTATGTTATAGAAGCCATTGTTCTGGTTGATGTTGTCGGATATAGAGATAAGCGATGATTTTAGGATTCTTCGGTATTGAGTGTTGTCTCTGGCGGTAAGTCTTGAGTTTCTGCCTGTGTACAACACCGTAATTCACACAACCATTTAATAAACTACAGAAACTCAAGACTTATCGCCACAGAAGACAACACTCAATACCGAAGAATCCTGGAATAATCGCTTATCTCTATATCCGGCAACTTCAACCAGAATAGTGGCTTCTATAACATAGCTGAACCACTTGCCAAGAAACTTCTTCATCGGCATCCCACGTAAGAACATAGGAATGGAGGAACACTGCAGAAGGTTTGTAGATGAATGGTTCAGGGAACCGACACGTTGATAAATTAGACACATGTGCAACTCTTGGGTATCTTTATTGAGGAAACGTTTCGCCACACAGTGGCTTCATCAGTCCATACAAAGGAGAATCTTGAAAAACAGGTGGAAAATGAGGTAATCAGTCCCTCAACCTTGAGTCGATGTGGTCAGTCTATCAATCTTGAATAGATTGATGGACTGACCACATCGACTCAAGGTTGAGGAACTGATTAGTTAATTCTCCTCCTGTTTTTCAAGATTCTCCTTTGTATGGACTGATGAAGCCACTGTGTGGCGAAACGTTTCCTCAATAGAGATACCCAAGAGTTGCACATGTGTCTAATTTATCAACTGCAGAAGGTCTGCTCACAAACTTATCCAATCTCTATGTAAAGTAAAAGGACACAAGTGCAACTAATGTGACATTTATTGTGGCAACGTTTCGCTCTCCAGGAGCTTGATAAAGCTTGATAGAGCTTGATAAAGCTCCTGGAGAGCGAAACGTTGCCACAATAAATGTCACATTAGTTGCACTTGTGTCCTTTTACTTTACATATTGTCGGTAATTCTACCAACTTTATTACAATTATCCAATCTCCCTTCCAAGCTACCCAAGATTTTAGACTATAACCCCACTAGGTAGATCAACAGATGCAGCATTCTCCACCGGACCCAGCATTCTGAATCTGACTATAAATACTCGCGTACCTTCCACCCGGGTAGATCTGTTTGTAACTTGAAAAAGCCCAAGTGCATAATTATCAGATAATCGTGTACGTCACGCCATCCATCAGAGACACTTGTATATTGGATGTTATGTATACTTGCATGATAGTCAATTGGTGATAGATATCGTTTTTTAATTGCCAGTTATTTTTTTTGTCGGGGTGAGGGAGACGCAGGAGGCAAGTTGCCTGGGCTAGTTGTAAGGCGCTTGCTGGAGCTGGTGGCTGGCTGATCTGGTTCTCAGGTGTTCTACCATAGGTGGTTTTTAGATGCTACTTGGTTAGATGTAAGGTATCAAAAAGAGGATGGTACCCAATCTTCTATAACTTCTATAACACGACCTATGACTGCTACACCTCTCCTGCCAACGGTTTATAAGCTCCTTCTCAGCACGTATGCCGTATTCTATTCAAGATTGATGGACTGACCACATCGACTCAAGGTTGAGGGACTGATTACCTCATTCTCCTCCTGTTCTTCAAGATTCTCCTTTGTATGGACTGACGAAGCCACTGTGTGGCGAAACGTTTCCTCAATAAAGATAACCAAGAGTTGCACATGTGTCTAATTTATCAACATGTCGGTTCTCTGACCCATTCATCTTCAGAGAGATATCTTCTAATCTTTGATCTAGGGAAGTCCTCGTTTTGTATGAAGCGTCGTACTCTTCGTTGGAAGGACATCCTGTAGGTCCTCTGGGAAGCTGTATTGATTATGTAGTCAGTAGTGTTAGTTGGTTGATAGTCGTCGCTTCTTTAGTTTGTCAAGCCTGACATTTCGTCGATCTCCCGTTGGATGTGTAGAACTTTCATTCTGATTCTGACCCTCAGTGTGTTGCCTGTGATAAAGCAGAGAGTCTTGTTCTAGACTCGTTGTAGATGTAACCTGGTTTTGTTGTTCGAAACAATGGCACGCTAGGCTATTCAAGCGAAACCCACAATAAAAACTGACTAAATTCATAATATGCGAATATTAAACAGATGTTTTACGTTTAGTAAGCTATCTTTCTGTTTACGTCATTCTTTACTATTACACAAACAATATTTGTTAAGATATTTTCATAGTTATATTCAGCTGATGAATTGCGTCTCAATAATTCATTAATTTATTTACGTTAATTATGAAACACTAACATAATCTGGGAGGAGCATGAGGATCTTATAGGACCTCTCAGGTGGAGACAACTTCCCCATGATGCTTCCCACTAGCATCACCACCAGTACACACGTCGTTGTTGACTTCATCTGCAGACAACATTAATTACACTTTTAACATATGTTACATTTCAACATTGTGTTAATGCTGTATCAATAATCAGGTAAAGATTTAAAAATGTAATAATTATTTCCTTGTCAATGAAGGTTAAGTGACAATGGTGACAATGGTGACAATGGTGACAATGGTGACAATGGTGAGCAAGTTGATCAGATTCTGGAGAGAGAGATAGAGAAAGAGAGAAAGAGCGAGAGAGAGAGAGAGAGAGAGAGAGAGAGAGAGAGAGAGAGAGAGAGAGAGAGAGAGAGAGAGAGAGAGAGAGAGAGAGAGAGAGAGAGAGAGAGAGCTAGCTAAGATTAATACTTATACCTATGATATTTCAAACATTATCCTTAAATAAAACGTATCACACAATTGTAAATATGTGATTCCATTAGAAAGTTACCTTCAGACTGGGAAAAATGCCGTTTTGGAAGAACTGTAATCCAGGCTGAAAAAATTATATCTTTCCTCTCTGCAAAAGGATAACAGTATACATTAAATAATTATTTCAGACAGATATATGGTTCAGTACGAAGTTTGACATTAGAACAAGTCAGTAGCATGGTTAACCTACATATTTCTGTGATGCGAGATTAATTAATGATTATTATGGTCAGAAACTCCATTGCATTCGGGTACACTCAATCACCTGGCATGAAAAAAACAATGTAAGCAGACAAGTTCTCTCAGGCATGGAACTACGTGCCAATTATTATTATTAAAGATTCGCCGGTATTCTCCCGGCCCGGGCCTTTTCCAAGTGGTGGCCCGGCCTTGGCTCCCTCTTTAGGGAGTGTCTCAGACCTAAGTCTCCCATGGGAGGAGTCACAAGTACCTCCTCATCTTTGGGACCAACTGTCCCCAGGCCTAGCCACAAGCTAGGCCTCTCTGGTCTGTCATCCCCGCCCCAAGAAGGCTAATGGGAATGACAGTCTTGTGAGCTACAAGCTCCGGCTCAGGCACCTACCCTACCATAGAAGGGTTAGGCATGGTGTCGATCTACGAACCAAATATATTGATTGTGGTTAAGAAACTTTGGTATACCGTGACTTACGTACCCGCATTGGTTATGTTAATTAAGATAAGAGATTACATAGTTATAGATGGATTTTAATTACTTTAAAAAACATTCAAGTCTTGAAAGTTTGTTTATCAAATATTAAGATGTAAAGGTTGTTTGCTCCCAGTAAACATCGAAGATGATGAGTGTATCCATAAATATTCTAAAACGTGTGGCTGGTATATTTTAATTATGACATTCGAAATGGATTGAATTTTGTTTAGTGTATAAGTCCTTGTTGCCTGTCTCAGATTGTACATATTAAGTATTAAATTTTCATAGGATCATCCGTCGCTTTTTGTGACTTTGTGATAACCTAATCTCTTCTCGGTAATAAGTATGTCACAGTCTTTACTTATTCATACACATTGGTTTCAGAATAATGGTACTGTTGTGCCTTATAAGCCGAACTTCCCGAATGGGCTGAACTCCATTATGACTGGGGTTTGTTTTCCTATGCCCTCCTCCAACCCCCTTCCACCCCCACTATGAACCACCGATGCCATGTGCCTTTACCCCATATGTGGAGTTTCCCCTTCAGTCCAACCTTACAACACAGACTGAGTATGGCAGATGATGCAGCCAGCCAGCCACAAAGTCAGGGAAACACTGCATCTAATAATGACAGAAGAGATACATGTCAGATGTGTGGAGGGTATCGGGCACTCAACAGGAATGGCCCGGTCTGTGCACGCAACTGATGTGCTGGATCACATATGCTCCCTGCAGAAAGCAGCCCACAGCCTTCATATGCGGCAGGGAAATTCACAGACCTTCTTAAGCAGGTGAATGGAGGTTCCACCAACTTAGAAGCTCGAGGCACCATTAAGGCATGGCGCAACCTACTCCTGCTTGGCAAGGTCTGTCTCGCAGTTCCTACAAGAAGCGGCAAATTGCTCACCACGTCAGTCATCAAAGCAGTGCGAAACTGTGTTCCTCTGCCCCATCATCACAGGAATCACAGAGGCAGACCCAAGAAAAATTCCACCGTAAACGAGAAAATCTGCTCACAGGTTAGCAAAAAATTCGAAGAAGGTAACACAGTGGGAGTAATCAGGATAATTACATGCGACGACACTGTAGCCCTCAAAGTTGAGGCCACAGCCCAAGTACTAAGAGACACGCATCTAACCAGGGACGTTAACAACGACTCTGAGGAAGATCTAATCGCTGGACAGTTAATTGCGCCAGAATCAGAAGTCTATAAAGCCACAGTGTCATTTTCAGCAGGATCTACAGGAGATTACACTGGAAAACGACCACAACACATCAGAGAGACGGTAAATCCAGTACTCGGCAAAGCTGCATCAATTCTTCTTTCAAAGTTAATAACCTTCATCAACAGCTGTCTGACTGGGCGGATTCCTGAAGAAATTAAACCTTTATTTTTTCGGAGCCTCATTATGAGCTTTGAAGAAGAAGAATGGGGGAATCATACCCATTGCTGTCGGTGACACTCTTCGCCGTTTCGATGCCAAAGCAGCAGTAAAAAACATTCGACTAGAAACTGCCAGTTTACTCCAGCCTCACCAACTGGGCTTTGGGATCTCTCAAGGCAGTGAAGTGGCAGCTCATGCAGCAAGGGCCTAAATCAGGGACTTACCAGAAGACAAAGTCGTAGTCAAACTTGACAATCGAAATATCTTTAATATGGTGAAAAGAAATGTGGTCTTGCCATCTATTCGGGATAAGTACCCCAGTTTTCTTTTTACCTTAATTTCAGCTGGCTACAGCAAACTCTCAATTCTTTTGTTTGAAAAACATAAAATTCCCTCATCAGAGAGTGTTCCGTAGGGTGACCTACTCGCTTCATTTCTCTTCTGCATTGCAGTATGAGAACTAACTTCCAGCTTGTGCAGCGAGCTCAATGTCTGGTGCCTGGATGATGGCACTCTGACAGGCACAGAAGAATCTCTGCTAGAGGGGTTTACCACTGGTGAAGACACAGGGAGAAGCATCAGGACTCATCCTCATCCCCTTCAAGTGTGAAATCATCCCAACAAACCAGGAAATAACCACAGCTGTGCGAACGATCCTTCCTGAAGCCTCTACTACCACCCCATTCAAGAGCACCCTCTTGGGAGCACAGCTGGGTCACCAGGCCATCGACACAGTCCTCAAGGGCAAACTGGATGACCTGAAGAGAATAAAGGAGATAATAAGTGATCTTGTTGCCCATGATCCCCTGTATCTCCCCACAAGGTGTCTTACTAAATATGCCAAGACTCGCTTCTTGGAATGCCCACCCTCTTTTGCGAATATGACTCACTCCTGAGATTTGTCTTTAAGAAGGCACTGAATTTATCTCTGGAAGATCAGAAATGGAATCAAGCAACTCTTCAGGTGCGAATGAGAGGTGTAGGTGTGCGTAAGGCAACGCAGGTAGCTTTACCTGCATGTCTGTCCTCGTGTTTGGCTTCCAGTGGACTAGTCAAGGAGATTGTCCCTGATAGCTTGAGAGATGCGGTAGGATCTCAAGACCCCAGGTTCATTGAAGCAGCCGTGCTGTGAGACACCCTTGCAGACTCCTCAAGCAGACTAACTCCTCCCAGACAGGACAAACATTCCCAATAGGACAAACCGATCGTGGAAAAAATTGTCAATACAATGCTCACCAACGCTTCAGGAAAGGACAAAGCTTGTCTCCTAGCGGTGAAGGCACTACATTCAGGAAATTTCCTTTTAGTTGTTCACACTTCCTCCCTGGGCACTCGACTCGACTCACAGGCCATTCGGATTGGTGTTCCTCTCCTCCTAGCCTCTCCCATTTTCACCGAAAATAGGTGTATTTACAGCAGGGCGATGGCTGATCAGTTCGGAGTTCATGGTCTCATGTGTCATACATCAGAAGGGAAGTATGCCAGACATGAGGAGGTCAACGACATCATAAAAAGAAGTTTCACCACAGCCTGTTGACCAGCTCAACAGGAAACGGAAATACTGAGGTCTGACAGAAGTCAAAAACATACAGTTGGGGTCACTATGCTACCCTGGAAGGATGATAAGCAGATTTCCTGGGACTACACCTGTGCCTCCACGTTGACGGACACCCACTTGCCACACTCTGAAGCTGAAGGAGGTGAAGCCTCCAGTTACAGGGAAACTCAAAAGATCCACAAATATGACGACAACTTCATCCCATTAGGGTTCGAGACCCTAGGAGCATGGGGTACGTGTAATTTGAAGTTCCTCAGAGTGCTGGTGAAAAGCTCTTCATAGAAACCATGGATCACAGAGCGGCCAGTTTCCTCTTTCAGAGACTCAGTGTTGCGATCCAGAGGGGAACTGCCTGCAGCATTCTGGGCATGTGGCCCACCGCTGGGGCGCTGGATGAAGTATTTGAGATGTAGGCTCCGAAATGTTAATTATGTTTTCCTACTTCCTATTGTATTTTTGTTGATGTACTTTATCGTTAAATAAAGTCCATATAAAATATAGAATATAGGGGTGGTAGGAGAAGAAAATATTTAAATGCTCCAGGGAGAACCTCGATTTTTCCCTGAAGTAAGTTTATTCTTTTCTCTGAGGATGAGGGACCTATGTCTAGTTTCAGAGGTTGTATCTCCCTATATATTTAAAATTAATGTTATATATATTATTTCGTTATGTTCAGATTGATTTAGGCAGAGTGATAAACAAAAAAAATCACTCTTCTTATTTGGTGTAAAATGTCCTTGCTTTAATTCCAGATTCGGCTGTTCCGTTTATTCGGCGTGACATTACCATGGAGAAGGAAAAAAACATTTATTCCAGTAAGAAAAGCGAAAGGCAGATAGAACAATTTACATTTCCACTTTCTTTTTTTCCCTGAGAGAATAAAATAATTTATTGGTCAAATATAATCATTATTGTTAATATAAATATAGTCTGGTGTTTAAATAAGTTTATTTTTCTTCCATCAGTAAATAATCAAACATAATTAAAGCA